TTGAAGGAATAAGCCCTCCAAGAGGCCTTAAAGTAACACACCTAATATTTCAGCTAGATTTGACCTGCGGGAAGGCAACCGATTAAGGACTCAGTTCACTATAAATATAACATGATAATAGTAATGCAGTAGTGTGAAGAACATTTATAAACTGGTTAAACTGACAAGATGGTGAAGAAAGAATGAAAGGAAAGTGCTGATGGCCACTAACAGAGCTAGTGTTGTGTTACACGACAAATGCTCAAAATATTACCAAAAGTCAACTTTCATGTTTGTTCATAAGGTTTTAGTTTGTTCATAAGGTCTTAGTTTGTTCATAAGGTCTTAGTTTGTTCATAAGGTCTTAGTTTGTTCATAAGGTCTTAGTTTGTTCAGAAGGTCTTTGCTTGTTCATAAGGTCTTTGTTTGATCCCCGCTTGTTGAGGTGTCCTCATGAAGTCGAGTCCCATGTTGCCTCTGTTCTGTGAATCAGTGTGCGAGTGTGTGTGAATGGGTGAAGGGTTGCAGGGTGGTGCAGTCTGTTTGAACAGTTGCCTTGCCGCAAACAAAACCCTGAGTTTAGCTTCCAGATGCAGGGTTTGCATTAGTGCATGGGTTTTCTGTTGGCACTCTGATTTCTGCCAGCAATTCAAAGACATGTTGGGTTAATTGGCTGTAAATTGGCCATAAAGGTGACTGTGAGCATAGATGTTTGTTCATCCTTGTTCAGCTCTGTTCAATTGACTAATGAGAATTTTAAGATATTTACTTGTCTAATGTTATATAGTTATATAAATACAACGTACAGCTAAATGTATCCTGTACCTTTCTTTAATTGGCTGAGCAAAGAATGAACATAAAAACTAGAGAAACTGAACATTCTTTTAAAAATTCAATGTGAAGGCAACGTGCACGACTTTGCCGAAATGTGTTAAAGAAGCTGAAATTGAAGTGTTAGTGTTTAAACAATCAAAACAAAGGCTAATATTATCAAAATTCAAAATGATACCTTTAAGCTAAGATCACCAAAGCAGGCGCTGAAAGCTAAAACCAGCAGAACAATAGCTATAAGCTAAAAATGAAACAAGTGTGCTGAAATAGATTTTTAGAGTACAAAGTTTCACAACGACCTGGAGAGCTTTTCATTTGTTTCATTGAGGAAAAAATGTAAAGAAAGTTTAATGTTTCGAAAAGTGAAAAGGTTACAAAAACACACGTCATAGCCCCAATGTCTCGAATGAGCCAAAAGTGTTGATATATGAATGGTTATAGTTGCTAAAATTATGCTGTAGTAGTAACTGTTCAAAAACCAAATGAAAGAAACTGTATGGATGGAATCAAAAAAATTCCAGATTGCAGCAGCAATCAAAGGCACCATTATTATAAAACTTACAAAACTGAATGCCTACTTTTTATTCGCAACTAGTTCAAAACAACTTGTGAACAGTTTTCTTTCTCTTTTTTTTTAGAATATTACATTATACTTTACACCAAAACACTTCAAATCGAATTCCATGCAATCACAAGTGAAATTGGATTCATGCAGCCTGGAAGCTCGCTAAATACCACAGCCATGAGAATACATGTGGCACTGATCAGCTTCAGCTGCCAAAAAGATCGCAGAGGGGATGGAAGAGACAAAGTCCCCGTCAATCATCTCCACATTTCATTGGATCCCCCCCCGGCTGCAGTTTATATTCGCATGGAAAAGTCTACAGCATGGCTACATAACTGTCTGCACAGACTAAATAAGAGCATGTTTTCTGATTGGTTTTGAATGTTAAAGTAAAACATCAAACATCAGATTGTATTCAAGTACCTTTTTTTAAACAACCATCTGAAAGAGAACAAATCTACTGTCTCTCTGCAGAGGCGATCGTTTTGAAGAAATTAAACATTTTTCTGCGAGATTCCTGGCTGTCCTTTACAGATAGGGTCAGAAGTTCAGGTATTTGGGATGAACTCCTCCTCACCAAGAGGAGCCAGTTTTAGCATTTGGTAAGAATGACCCCTGGACACACCCCCAGTTGGGTTTACTGGGCATGTCCAACCTGGGAGGAGACCCTGTGGAAGACCCGGGTCATGTCTTTCAGCTGGCCTGGGAACACCTTGGATCCCTCCCAGAATAGATGTCTGGATCTCCCAGACCTGTGACCCAACTATAGAACAGGCAGCAGATAGTAGATAGATGAATCGACTCTAGTGCTTCTCATTAATCTCATGAGATCTTTGCTTAAAACGTCAGCAATAACTACTGGAGTAGAACCCTATTGTTTTTATTTTTGTATTTAGGACAGTTTGCATGAGTAGAGTAAAGCTAAAGTCTTTGTGTTCATTCAGAGAGAAACAATAAACTGCTACTTCCTCCAACTCGCCCCAAAGACAAGTCCCATCCTGTTTTGACTGTCGAGCTCCCGTCCGTCCCCCGTCCCCCTCCCCGTGGCACAGGACCCTGTTGCCATGGTGCCTGGCGGGGGTATTCATCCCGCCCTGTTACAAAGGGTGTAATGTTGGATTCCCAGTCTTAGATTACAGGAACACTGAGGTCGGTTCCCTCCGGAGAGAAGCCAGTTCCAACAGTGACCCTCCCTGACAGTCACACCTGTTGAATTCTGTAATCCTCAATCTTCTGTTTCACCAAACCTTTCCCCCCCACAAATAAACATCTACAGGTGTTTGTTTATATGTAAATGTTAGTAGGTGTCTGACAGGATTTCCCTCTTTAAACTGATCTTCTGTCAGAGGATGTTTTTTTTATTGGACAGGCTGCTGGACTTTCCTATAGGAAGTTTAAAAAACAACAATGAGTAAAGTCAGCAGGTCTAATTCTTATCTTATTAAGATATCCTCTCTGAGGTTTATCCAGCTTACAGTCTCAGCTGAGAGAACGCAGATGTTTTTTTTTTCTTTTACAATCCCTTTGGATCAGGTTTATTAAAAGTACCCCTGTCTGTGAGCCTTAGGAGCTTAAAGTGTGCTGATATTTTATCTTAACGTACTGAGCTTAGACTTCTTATCTGGGGTTTTCAGCTTAACTTTAAATGTCCAATAATTTGCCTTTTAACACATTTTACTTAAAAAAAGAGACAAAATACTTATACCTTTTAGATAACAGTAATTCTGCATGTGACAATTATGCATAGATTCTTTTTATGAGTAAAATCTTGAAAAACAAACCTGTGCAGAAACAGGAAATGTCATTTTGAATGTGAAGCCCACGTAAAGATTGATTTGATTTATTTATTTAACAGGAAAAGATTATTAAAAATCAAGCCTGTTTTACAGCAGGTTCATATTCTGCAGCACATAAAACACTCAGAATTACAGCATCACAATCACATCATTATACACCATATACACAAAGACAAACAAGCATACCAAATTTCAAAAAGGCAGCATTTGCAAAATAGGATATCTAAATATGAGCACCGACAGGCTGTGATTCGTCATTACCTGCGTGTCGTCTCTTACCACAGCACACGTTTGATTAGTTGTATATTTTCCCTGCCTTGTACAGAAGTGGCTGAAGTGTGAGGGTCCAAAATGTTTGGTTTACATCAAGTGTGAGCTTCACAGTGTTTTGGTTAACTGACCTCGGCGCACTCGGGCGAATCACTCGCAGTCGCACAGGCGTGTGTTTAAGTCTAAATCCACACATTTATGCTCATTTTCCCGCTCAACACGACTGGGAACTTAAACCCACGGAAGGACGTCGATAACAAAATACAAGTCAAAGATATTTGGATCCCAAAGAGAGCATCTGTAGGGATTTTACACTCATGTTGCATTTTGTGGAGGATCATGTTTCGTAGTTCATCCCATCGTTTGACCTCATTGCTTTTTCCGTTCCACCTTTCAGTGCTGCCTCGTAGCTGATTAACTCAAACCAGTTTTCAGGTCCTGTGGGTAAGGTTGTGTGTGTGCCCTTGTGTCTTGGTGTTCATTAGTTTTGTAGCAAACCAGCCCATAAGTTAATCATTCATTATCCAAAACAAACCTGGATTGTTTTGGTGCTTTTACTGCACACTGCAAAAATTAGCCATGTAAAAAGAAGTTAAAAACACTAGATTATAGTTTGAATCTTCTCAAATTAAGTGAAATAATCTGCTTGTGCTGTAAGACAACTGCACTTGTTAAAACTTCTTGATGCTGTTGCTTATCAGTATCAAAACAAGATTGAAAATACTTTTTGGCTGGATGTATGATTATAAGACTTATAAGACTTGGTTAGATGCAGTCCTCATTGGTAAACTGTTTTACTTGTGGGTTCGTTAAAAAAAGACATGGTTAGGGCCAATATTTTGGCTCAAGATGATCTTAGGAAGAGGAAAAAGACTGCAATAAATCAAATGTTGATTCATTTCCAACTAGCACTATATTTTTAACCTTTGACCTCCTGCAGAATGTATCCAAAATCTAACCACATATTTTTTTTTCTAATATAACATGTGGATTGTTTTTGGCTATGAAATGCAGTGTTTCTAAAACGTCTGGAGTTTGTTTTATGGTATGAAAACATCAAGGTAACATGACATGTTTTAAGAGCGTCTACGTCTTGTTTGAATGTCAGACCGCGGAGTAAAAGACGGGTTATGTATTGTTTTTACAGAGACCAATGCTTCATCTTCTCCGACTGTCAGGAAGATGTTTGTGTAAGTGGCACTCCTGCACCGCAGTGTGATACGGGGAGGGGGCAGGACATCTGATCCACTCAGCAGGCAGGCCTGTGGTCTTCTCTGTGGGAGAAGTGGAATTCTGTGGTCTGTCTTGGTGCTGCTGGAATTTCTAAAGCAGTCAAGCATGGCTCATATAACTTGCATAAACAGACCACCACGGTCATGATTTAGAAGGCGGTCAAGACGGGAGCTTTGGTGCTTTGAGTTATTTTTACTGGCAGCACCGGTCAGAGAGGGAAAGTTAGGCCTTCCTAATCCAGGTGTGTTTATTTCTCCTGAAGCTGAGTGAGCACACCTGTTTCACCCCATCATCTGCTGATGTGTGTGTGTGTGTGTTTGTTTCAGGTGACCTGTCCCCGGTGCAGATGTCCCCAGTTCCTCAGTCCCAGTTCATCCCATTAGCTGAGGTGCTGTGCTCTGTCATCTCTGAGATGAACGCCGCCCAGATCACCGTCACTCAAGAGGCGCTTATTAATTACATGAGCAAAGCCCATCCAGGTAATCCATGACATGTCTGTTTACCTGCTTTGTTTAATTGAGAGTTTAAAGTACCCGTGACATCAAATATTTATTATAAATATTAATGTATTTTTGGAAAGATAGCATTGATAGCATATTGTAAAAAAGATTTCACACCGCTGCGATGAACAGTTGCTGAGATATTCACACATGAAGTAAGAGGAAGTGATGTCAAAGGGGAATGTCTGCCTGTGAACAGAGCGTTGCTAAAATGACTAACTACCCAGACTGTAGAGAAGAATGTGATGTTTCTTTAGTTAGATGAGAAAGAATCAGTTCAAATTATATTATTTCAGTAAACAAAAACCAGGGAGTTTTCTTTCTTCAAGAGTTCCCCTTTGATGTCACTTCCTGTTTCACTTTAGCTGAGCCAAATTCAAAAGAAAATATGCCAATCATGTCACATAACGGGTCAAATCACATGTATTATGCCAAGTTTCTTAAATATAAATATATTTTCTTTGACTTTTGTATTTCATGGGTATGCATGTCACAGGCACTTTAAAATTTTGGAAACACACACATGAAGAGTTTGTTTCACCTTTTCACAAGAGGTGAAACAACACTGTTATACAGGACCTGCTGCTTTAAATACACCTAGCAATTTAAGTTGAATCAGATTTTGTCACCATAAACACTTGTTAACATGATTTGTCTTTAAAGTGTCTACATATTATATTTTGGCTTACTTTTGTATCTAACATACTTTATTGTTTTTGTATCCTAGGGATAACCATCCCCACTCAGGACATCCTCTACAACGCACTTGGCACTCTGATCAAAGAGCGCAAAATTTACCACACAGGCGAGGGCTATTTCATCGTTACCCCTCAGACCTATTTCATCACCAACAACTTGGTCCGAGAGAAAAACTGGTGGACTTCTGGTTCAACGGATGATCCTCCTTTGTCTCCTCCCATTACTTACCTTCTGAGTAATGAAATCTGTGCTGAGAGCGCTCAAGCGCTCCCTGTGGCCCACTGCAAGTCATGTAGCTGCTTTAGTCCTCACCTAAATCCTTCTAATACCGCTGCCACTACAGAAACGGCCACTGTCCCTCCCTCCACTGTCCCTGACCAGCATTCTGTCTCTGTGTCCATAAGTGAATGCACGGGCAAGAGCCTAAAGTGGCCCCGACCGTCAGACCCCAAACCCTCGGTGCAGCATCAGTCCACCTCCACTGCAGCCGACTGTCAGGCGAGCGAGATCAGCAAAACAACTGCTACGACTAACGCCACTGGCCGAAAAGAAAAAGACAACAAACCTGCAAGGAAATTTGGTCTCAGTTTGTTCAGGAGGAATGCAGGTAAAAAGGAAAAGCCAAAGAAGGAGTATGCATCATTTTCAGGCCAGTTCCCTCCTGAGGAGTGGCCTGTAAGGGACGAGGATGACTTGAACAACTTGCCTCGTGACCTGGAGCATGCCATCATCAGACGCATCAACCCTGAACTGACTGTGGACAACTTGACACGGCACACTGTCCTGATGAAGAAGCTGGAGGAGAGAAGGGAGAGGGGGATCGACAGGGTGTTCGATAGAGGTCTGGATAAAGATGACAAGGGAGTTGACAAGGGAATGTCGACTGACGCCCTGACGTTCTCGAAACACAGGCATCACCACGTGTCTAAAGGAGGTGCAGGGAAAAGATCCTCTCAGAAGGCTTCTCGCAGCAAGAGAAGGGCCCACTCATCAAGAGAGAAGCAGAGGGAAAGGGTTAAAAGTAAGGCTCCCACATGTGCAGACGTTTACCCAGATGGAGAGGATTTGATTCCAACTCGACTCAGAGTTGAAATCCCCGTTGATGAAGCAGATCAAATGGAAGAGGGTGAAACTGTCGAGGGAAAATGTCTTTATAAGAAGCGCATCGATAACCCTTTCCAGACTCACTCAGCCAAGGAGGCTGAAAACATCATTTCCAGTAGCAGAGAGCACAGAAGACAAGAGGTGAAGGAGGGAAAGGCCTCTGGGTCAGGAAAAAGGGAAAGAACGAGTCACCGGTCCAAGTCTTGGGACCCACATCGAGCGAAACTGATGACGGCAGATGGAGAGAACGCACTAAAAGTCCCTTTGTCTGAAGAACAATACGACTGTACCCAAGATGGGGGCTTTACAGCTGATCAGCTTCAACTGGACAAGAAGCTCAACAAAGAGCTTTCTCTGGACTACAGCTCGGCGTTTGTACAAGGGAGCACACTCAGGATGGATGACAAAGTTGGACATCAAGGCGAAGAAAACGGCAACAGGGACTGGGAGAGAAAAAACAAAAATGGGAACTTTCAGGATGTGCAGGAATTCAAAAACGTAGCAAATCAAAGCCAAAGCAAAGACGGTTGTCTGGCTAACATCCAACAATACTCCAATATGATTGGCGTTACCCCTGCTCATACCTATGAGCCCATCATAAACCACTTATTTGATCCAAATCCTCCATGGCCCAAGCCTTCTTTACAGCGCAAACACTCCCTTAGACTCCTCAATCAACAAGGGGATAATGTTCAAAAGCCAGCTGAGTTTGATGAGACTAGACCTACGAACGACCAGCAGGTAGTTAGACCAATCAGTAACCCTATCCACAAGCAACAGCCACAACTGACAACTGAAGATCCCTCCTTTATAAAAAGCAGTGACGGTTTTACGGAAGATGACTATAACCTTTACCAGAGACCACCAGAGCAGGGTGATGATGATGCTTGCAGCTCTTTGTGTCTGAACAGTGATGAGATTGCTGATGATGCAAATGATTATCAAACTGGTGTAATGAACTATCACATCCACCAGCAGATTGACCATGAATCTATGAGTATACAACATCTGGGACCCCACAGTCACCATTATAAAGCCACCCTTCAGCAAGAATCGGTGCACAGCGCTTTGAAGGATCTGTTTCCCCCTTCAAACCAGAGGGGGGCTTCCCTCAACTCTACAAGACCGGGGGAGATTATCTGGAGACATCGCCTGAGAACTAGTAAACCACCGGGCACACAAAGTGAGCCGAGATGCATGAGGACTCTGTTGATCCAGGAGGGAAAACGGCCTGATTCTATCCAAGACGTGGACTGTTCGGGGCCGTGTGAAGATGTAGACGGTAGTATCTTCGACTACTGCCGGGCTAGCGAGGTCGAATCTGACTCTGAGACTGTCCGCAAGTCGGCTGATGAAGGCGACGGCGAATCTGCTCACTGGGCTGCCGATATGGAGGAGGTGCAGGCGAATGAGATGGATGAGAAGGTCATTCCTCTGAACCACAAGCCCGTCCAGAAAATGACCAGCAAAGTCAGAAAAGTGGAAGAAATTGTAGAAAACCAGAACATCACAGGAGACAGTGGGATAGATTCCCCTCGGTGAGTGACTCCATTTGTTTATAAGGTGGAATAAAGTTGTGTTTAATAAAAAAACTGAGTTGGTAAAAGCTACTACATGTATTGAGTAATGTATCTGCTGTGCGCCCGCACACGACTATAAGGACCCACATTTCTGAAGTGGCTTTGAGCTAAATAAACCCAGTATTGAGGTTTGTTAACCTTGGGGTTACATGTCTGTGGTTGGCCTCACTCCCAAAATGTGTTTTTAACTTTTAAGGTAAATTGCAATAAAGCTGAACAAACACCTTGTGGCCAATTATAGCATCCAGTGTTTGGACAGAAGGGAGTCATTTCTGATAATTATGTGTAATAGCTGCGCAGCACTTAAATACTCATTTTAAAATCTAAGAGGAAGAAAAGAACCTTTTTTTTTGTGGCATTGAACTCTACATGCACCTGGGTGTTTAGGTGTCACATTTTTCAAGTGGTATGTTTTGCCCCCACCACAGGACCTGTGTCAGTCTTGCTTCCAGCAACACTGTCATACTTGAAGGTCTGAAGAGGAGGGGCTTTCTGCAGAACCTGGAGAAACTGCATTCGAAGAGCAGCACCATCCGACCTCAGAGCTCACTGCTACAACTCACTCCTGTGATGAACGTATAATGGTTCCCTGCAGGAATGTCGGAGCTCACACATCTGATTAGAGTGAAAAGAAAACTTTGTGCTTGAGTCTGGTTGTAAGCCTATTCCGCGACGGAACTTCAGTCTGTAAATATGTACAGGAAAATGAATCTTTGTAAATGACTCTTAAGGTAATCGACTATATTTCCCTTCAGAAACTTGGTCACATTATTTTTGTGCTATAAATGCAAATGCTCTTTATTCACGACTCAATGATTTAATATACAGAAGAGCAATAATTTCTCTTAGATTGCCTTTTTTTCCTTGACTTGTAGCAATTACTACAAATAAAACTATATATATCACCAATCTGTCCGTTTTTTCTCTCCCGTGATGTGCTTATATTTTCTGCCCTGCAATTACTGTCAGTTTAAACTATTTATCAGCCCTGCTAACAGTGTGTATGCTTGTGTGTCTGTACTGTAGAATATCTCACCAACTACTGGACATATTTTAAATACTTTCAGAAATTATTAACAAAAGTATTGACATCTACAGCTGTTTAGGCTGTAGAGTCAACACCTTTCAAGATGGCCTCCACAAATGATCAACTTAAGCCTACACAACTATTATCAATAAGTTCTATAGATTCTGATTTGAAGTACCGGTAATAGCACGTTGCATATATGAACAAAATTTGACCAAAACAGCCACGTCTTTTCTGAACACAAAACGATCTTTTAAAAACTGGCATGAAAAGTTGTGGCTGATATACATTTCTTCAATAGTTATTTTGGGGGATGGTACTGTTGCACTAAAGATTTTTTGAAGTGTGTAAAGTGAATTTATTTAGACTGGACAACCACATTTCTAAAAGCAAACATGTTTTATGAAGCATTATAATCAAAACAAATATAAACCAAAGCACAGCTCTGCATCCAGGAGGCCGAGGACGTTTTTAGGGACTTCACTAAAGATGGATCTTCAAACCTCTGCTTCAAGACTGAAGTCAGCTGTAGAAATACTGTTAAATGAAACATGGGAGACTGTTGTTTAGCCTCAGATGAAACCAAATAGCTTCCCTCACATATTCAGGTACAGCTTTTAGTCCTGCCCAGGCTGATGGTTAAGATTCAACATAACTGTTCCAGTAGTAACTTTATCAAACCTGAAGCGTTACTAGAAAGAACTAGGTTTGTTGATAAATAGTGCCACCATGTGGTCAGATTATGGAAACGCAGGTACATTAAGCAATAAACTGCCCATCCCTTCAATATGAGAATGAAGTCAAATTAGGCCAAAACACATTTTTAGATTCCTGCTTTTTAAGTTACTTTTTAATACCTGGATCATCCCAATATGAGCGGTTCCAGAGACATGGCTTGATTAGTCTTCCCAGTTAGGATAACCCATTGATATCTGGGCGTAATGAGGAATTTTTAATATAATTTTAAAGATGAAATCTTTAGCATTTGAATAAAAGTTACTAATTGTAAGAAAAGCTTTAACTTGCAGTACAAATTACAAAAAACTACTGAAAATCATGTTTGTTGCTACTTCAAAAAAAAATTAGTTCAGACATTTCATTTAGATAAATTATGCATAATGTAAATGCTGCAATCATTTTAAGCAAAGAAATAGCTATTTCTCCACATACTACTTTGCAACACACGGTGCCAGTTTCATATTTAATATGTAACATTTTAGCACTTTATAATCCCAATGAGTAAACACCATCAGAGTCAACAACCTTTATTTATCCATATTGTGCCACTCAAAAAAGGGAAGAGGTGTTACAAGATTTCCCTTCAGAGACGTTTATATGGATCGTTTACACAATTTTTCTCTACAATGAGGCCATTGACAAAAATTAAGGGGGGAAATAAACATAGCTGTAACAGTGTAAACACATGGTAATATACATGAAAGAAAAAAAAAAGCAAACTCATAAGTGACAAAATTCAAATGTAGGGTAAAATAAAACTAAAGACTCCTGGAAACCCTATGTCTCTCAAATAACTCAGCATACATTTCTACAGAGCATGCAATAAGGCACCTATCTAACACAAGGAAGAGAACTATGCTACAGTCTGACGCACAACTGTTTTCCAAACAAAAACAAAATATTGCTCGCCAAAATGTTCACTCATAAAAACAGTCTCATTCCCTTTCACATAACCCAAGCCATGTTTAAAAAAATACATCAGTTTGTAAAAGATATCTTACACAAAACAGTAAATAGAGCGCAATCCATTGGACTTGAGAAAAATCATGTAAAATTATTTTCTATTTTAGTCTTAGTATACACAGCCTTGTTTTTGTTTTGGATCAAATGGTGAGTTTGCAGATCTACAAGTGTTACCTATATTCTATACACAGGCAATTAGTCTCTAAAGCAATAAAGTATGATATAGGATTCATGTACATTAGAACTTGAGTTCAGATGAAACCACGCAGTAAATAATTAGGACACAGGTCATGTTGTAATATTGTATCAAGTGGATTTTTATTATCTAATAGGCATTTACTAACGGCTATGTTGCATGTCAAAGAATCAAGCCAGGTTCACTCTCTGTACAACTCAAGAACTGTGTTAAACCATAAAGAGACGTACAAAATTCAACCTCATAAATATACAAGACGACTCGTGTCCGATGAAGCCCAATGTCAAAAAACAAGCTGCAAGGAAACAACTGCAACAATTTTCTTCTCATCTCCAAAACTCGGAACAAAATAAACTCATAAAAGGGCAAAAGAAAAAGTGGAGACAAAGTGGATCTTACTATCAAAAATGTCATCTTTTGGAACAGCACACTAGTCACCTATATTTATACATATAAAAGAAAAATCAACAAGTATTTACACTGGATTTTTGATATTTGCTTCACGAGTTAAGTGGAAGTGACTACTCAAACTGAGGAGACAGTTCTTTTAAATTTTGTTTGTAGACTTGGATATTTGAAGATGTAAAGCAAATATAGACACCTTGAGATAAATTGAATTCTTTTTTATCAAAAAAAAACTAGATGAAGCATATTTATTAAGTTACATATTTATCATGTAGATTTTTAAAAGAGTTTTGGAGGTCCTGAAGCTGAATCACTAGCAAAAATTTGACTCCTTCACAATATGCAGTTGTACTTTCTTTAAACTGAGCAAAAAGCTCTAGGTTCAGTTCTGAAACACACCTCGCAAAGTTCATTAGGGCAAGACATTTCCTTTTGAAGACTTCTGCATTACTGTTAATTAGACAACGAGAATAAAGTGCCGACATGACCTCTTGTCAGTAGACGTCGGCCTGACATTTTGTGTCCTGGTGATACAGAAAGGATGATCTGTGAAACAAATGAGTCAGGGTATTTGGGATGTCCAATGTGGGGGTTGGGGAGGGGGGCCTGCTCACTGATGATCTACATGGATCCTATGATGTCTGGAGAGAGAAGATGAATGGTTAAAGCCTTTTCCACACTGAGAGCATCTGTATGGTTTTTCGACAGAAAGAATGTGCTGCTTTGGGAAAATATTGTTGGGGAAAACCTTTGGTGGGGGAATGGGGATTGGGATGGGGCTGTACTGCTGCGGTTGTGGCTGCGGAGGTTGTGGCTGCTGCTGCTGCTTATTCTCCAGGTGAACTCTCTGGTGCCTCGCAAGAGAGGAAGAGTGATTGAATATTTTACCACAGTGACCACAGGTGTAAGTCTTTCCGTCTGAGTGGACTCTTTGGTGCCGTGACAGGGACGAGGAATGATTGAATCCCTTGTCACAGTGGTGACACATGTAAGGTTTCTCTCCTTGCTGGTGCACTCTCTGCTTCGGGGGAGTGCCGAAAGACAGAGCTTTCCCAGGTTGGGGTGGGGAAAACACCGGATTCTGCAGGTGGGTCTTATTATGGCGAGACAGCGACGAGGAGTGGTTGAAGCCCTTGTTGCAATGTCTGCAGGTGTAGGGCTTGCCTCCAGCGTGGACTTGCTGGTGCTTCTTCAGGTGGCGCTTGCGGACAAAACTCTTCCTGCACATGTTGCATTTGTATGGCTTCTCGCTCGAGTGGATCCTCTGGTGCTCCCGCAGAGTGGCGGCGGCAGCAAAGCACTTCCCACACTGAATGCACTGGTGGGGTTTGTCTCCGAGAACAATGGTGGCGTGCGTCTTCTGGTGCTGCTTCAGGTTGGAGGTCGTCGCAAAGCCTTTGCCACACTGGCCGCAGGTATATGGCTTCTCGCGGGCATGAACCTCTTGGTGCTTCTTCAAATGCCTTCTGCGGACAAAGCTCTTTCTGCATTGTGTGCACTTGTATGGCTTATCCTCAGAATGCATCTTCATGTGTTCTCTCAAGGTAATGGCCGCTGCAAAGCTCTTACCACACTCCGAGCATCTGTGCGGCTTGTCTGGCAAATGAATCATCTGATGAGACTTGAGGCTGTAGGCATCGATGACATCTTTGCCCATGATCTCTACTCCAGGGGGAACATAGGGCTTTTCTTTCATGTGAATTTTCATGTGCTGCTTGAGACTGGCTTCTACAGCAAAACTCTCACCACAGTGGATACAGATGTAAGGGTTGAGGTCCTTGTGGATCTCAAAGTGTTGGTGAAGATCAGCTATGCTGCCAAAGATCTCACCACACTCGTTGCATTGTAGGCCGTGAGCCTCGTGTATGATTACACCATTCTCAGACTCCACCGTCAGCTCCCCGCCATGATCAGACTCCATTTTAACCATATGCTCGCCTTCTGTTTTAAGCAGCACCTCTCCCAGCAGAGTCTCGGTTCCTGTTGTCTTGATCTCCGCCGCCGTGAAACAGTGAATATCTGCATGTTCCACCTTGATGTAATCATGGTCAGTCTCAGCTACAATTGCATCAACACAAGCCACAGCACCGAGTTCTGTCCCCAGCCCTTGAATCTTTAGGTCCGAGCCGTGGATCTCCAGCTCTAACCCACGCTTTTCCTCTGTCATGATCTCAGTTTCAGCTCCATAGTGAAGGTCGACGTGGCTATGGGCTATGACACACTCCGACCCAAGCGTGTCAAGCCCTGGCGTGTCACATTCAGTCTCTGACTCGGCCATAAGAACACACTCCAGCCCTACGGCCTCCGTTTTCTTGCCGGATGAAAAACAAACAAAGAAGAATCGGGGGTATAGAGTAGATTTGTTTTTTCTCGCTCCTGTTGCGCTGGCACTCAACAGTAAGCAGACCTATAGAGTAAGAGAGAGGGGAAAATGTTACAGAAAGCTACATAATGAGGAAAAATTAAGGTTACACAAACCAAATCTGCAAACCAACACACTCATGAAATGTTTACCTAAATCAAAGACTCAGAATCTAAATTAACCATAACAATATCAATGCAAGCTTCGGAAGTTAACATTTTGCCATTTTTATCGACTTGTGTTCTCATTTCAACTGTTTTTAAAGCACACGCTCAGTATCAAGTATTTTGTGATGCATTGTGCTCCAGATATATTCATGAGTACTTTTGGTTATTTTAAATGCATTAAGTCTAAACTGTGTTCATATTGTTTCAGCTGTGCTCTACAGTCATTCTTACATCCAGCAATGTTACACATTGAGGACATTTGCCATTACAATGTAAAACACAAATGAAACTGGACCAAAAGCCAAGTGAACCCTGACCAGAAGTAGTTAAGCATGTAATGTCGACATGTGACGCCAGATTTTTTAGCATGCACGTTAGAACTTTACTGCAAAGAGGTCAATCTACAAGGGCATGTTAACACTGGTTAATCTACAACGGCATTGTTTATTAGAATCACAGGTATTGATGACACACTTACAGAAAAATAAATAAATAATTATAAATAAATAAAGGCAATTTTAATCAACATAACTGTAACATGTAGAAAAGAAACTGATACACCAAGGGACAAGGTTTTTACATTTTATTTGATAAAATCTAAATTGAATTTAGTGAGTGCCGAGTTAGGCTATCTTGTTTGATAGTAATGAACTTTACATAAAAACAAATAAGCTAGACCAAAAGAGGATCATATTAGATCTGAAAGACAAAAAAAGGTTCATTACTGCACAGCATTAAGCCTAACAGAAATAAGCTAAAACAAGTATTTAGCTAATAAAATAGCAAAATTGGCTAAAGAAATGTGCTTATGCCAAAAATCATAAACTCAAAGGTTGACTATGGACAAACTGAGTTGTTTGCTAGCTACCCTGGTGCATAAAACAAGCTTCACTCTATTAGCCAAGCCAAATGATAGATTTGAGGACCCCACAGCACCATACTATAAACTTAATCCGCAGACTGCAGTTTCACGAGGCCTCACTACGCTTTGCCGTAAAGCTCAGCCTTGTTAGATGGCACACTTTTATTTATGCACAGGACCATTTTAGCAGCTGCGTTTTAGTTTCTAGGCAGTAACGCGTTTATTGCTAGCCTTCCAAAGCAGCTACAAATAGCATTAATAGCCGCTAGTTAGCTGGCTACGGTCGATGGGCGACTGGTTAACGAGGAACAGCATTGTGTTAGCGGCTAATTTGTTCGCGATTTAGCCAGCTAACTAGCTCAACGAGCAACAACCAGCGTATAAGTATTTCTAGCCAAGACATCGACAAATATTTTTACTTACAACAACCGAAGTGTTCGGTCAAGTGTTTTAGTGCAACCTGAGACGACAGTCGACACGGAAACTCTCCCAGTGTGATTATTAACAGGCCATCTTGTTGTGCCACACCAGCACTTAAGATGGCTGCCACTTGCTAACGTTAGCCAAGTTTAGCATACGTCGTTCGCGATATATTTAAACAACGAAAGAGCACGCTAAATGTATCACGAACGAACTCGATTGTACTCTAGAAAGCACGGAGACGATCAGAATAAATATTACGCCTTAAAGACAATTAGCGGGCAACCGACCTGACACATTTAGCAAGCTAAGAGTCGCTCCAAGTATCATTCGGGAGCTGGCTAGCCGAAACAAAGATGGCTAACAGAAGACGATTGTGAGCGGAAAGCCCGGGAACTGGGCGGCTGATACTCACCCGAAAAACCTAAAATAACAAAAGCTAATAGCTAAAACACCTAGATAAAACAAAAACCGTTAAATCAGGATGATGAAGCAGCTGTATAAGAGGACTAGACTGATCTGGGCTTCAAACCTCCTTCACTGCGGCAGCATCAGAAAAAACACACGTCAATGGCGGAGCACTTAGCGGCTGCAACAGCATTAGCCTTCTTTGCTACATAGCACCGACGCACAGCTAACAGTCCGGCTAATCCAGTTTGTTAGCTCGGCTAAGGCATCCACACCGATGCAGCTTGTATTTAGTTTAACATTCGCTTGCGGAAGCGTAATTTAAAAACCACCCTCTCAGCCAAGTTAAATAGATTAAACGCAAAATGAACAAAGCGGATATCGGGTCGTTTCGATAATAACTGTGCCTTCAAGCATATTAGGCTACAGATGGAAAGGATAACACTTCAGATCAAAATTGTACCAATCGAACTGCAGAGTTTGCCTGCTTTAAACGGCACACATTGTGTTACAACCAGTGCGGATCGAGGCCTATATTTTACATCACAGAGTACAGAACTGTTGACAAATACAGCAACCTCATACACCCATTAAAATGAGAAGCAATACGGTTACATAGACATTTAACAGCCGTAAATAATTCAATGCTAACCAGATATTAAGTTCCATTTAAACGATGGGATTAAGAAGGATCATATCAGTAAATCATCGCATGCACATACCCAACTTTCTGTTCTTGTAGTGTCTGAATGGTGGGGGGAAAAAATGGGGAAAATTGATTTTCTCTGACTTCAAACTACGGGTTTATGAACGGCTTTGCAAGCTGCAGTGAGTGAGCCTCGTCCTCCCTTCCTTCCTCGCTCTGCCTGTGAATCGCTGGCGCCACAGCTCATCTGGCGCCAACGTTGGAGGACTTTAGCGAAAGGAACCATTGTCGTTTCAACCCGGCGCGAAAACCACTATCGCCCCCTGCAGGCTTGGTGTATTAATGCATGACAGCCTTCTATATTTTTTATTACAGCTTTTTGCATGAATGATACTTACATTTCAGTTTCAAAATTGCACAAAAACATTTACCTATGTACCAGTTTTTTAAGTAACGTTTATAATTAGTGTGCAATTATAAATTATAGCAATTTTTGCAAGTTTATTAAAACATCTGATTTTTTTAGCAATTGTATATATTTTGTTTCTGTCCAAAAACACAAACTAGTTGCTCTGTTGAATAAAAACAAAGTACATATTAAAATTTTTGTTGAGAGAGAGATTTCTCTCATGATCAGTATGTGTTTCTCTCTCTTTTTCTCTCTCTCTCTTATTCCTTTCTTTCTCTCCCACACACACGATTGAAAGATCAAGAGAAATTATTTCCCTCATTGATCATGTGATTTTTATTTCTTATGGTAAAGCCTTGTTCTGAGTGTAGGGGAATCTGACTACCAAAATCCAAAATTCACTAATTTACAAACTAGTCACTTGTAAGAAAGATGCCACTAAGGTGTTACAACAGAAAAATACAAGAAAAAAAAACAAGTCTTAATTGTCTAAGTAAATCAATGCAAGGTACATTGAATTGCATTTTCTTTAGTCGCCCACAAGGCAAGTCTGAGTATACATTTATTTTATTCAAGTCCTCCACATGGACAAATTGGGGCTTCAGTAGCTCGGTGGCCAGTGCTACAGTTTTGTAATCCTGAGGTTGCAGGTCAGGTTGTGTCAGAAAGGATATTGATATTGGCTCCAAATCTTTCATGCAAGTTCACTCATTGTGGCAACCCCTGCAGAAGGAAGCAGCCAAAAGAAGAAGAAAAAACATCCAAAAGTAGGTAAAAGACAGCAATGTGTAATAGAAGCAGTGCAGCATGCCATGATGTTGTGATAAATGTTACCGATATACTACAAAATACACAGGCTTTGCACAGGAATAAATATTCAATGAGGTTGACAAGATGATGCTGTTTTGCCTGTTGGTAAAAGTTATGGTTGTTTGGGGAATATAAAATGTACAAAGGCTTTCAGAACTAATTACATCAAACAGAAGGTGAAAGAAAACCACAAAATATTCACAATAAAATACACCTTTCCATTATTATCTGTCAGAATCTGTCTTTCATTTTGGTAGATTTTTTTTTTGATCACCTTTGTGTCAGCTGGTTTTGTTTCAAGTACTTCCGCCCACTCCTTCACTATTAAATGTCCAACCTGGAATACTGGTTTTACTTTGAGAGTATACCACATAGCAAACATTTTGTCACATAGTGAGTCAGTGCCACAGTTTCACTGGAGCTGCATACTTGAAGGACTCAAGCTTCTGCTATTTATTTATTTTTATTTTTAATTTTTTTTTTACATTTGTAGTTATTTTCAACCTGTTTCTTCTAGAGGGTATATTATAACCCTCAGATTTTAATTTTGTTCTCACTTCAGCTGGATTTTATTTTATATTCTTGGGAAGAAAATGTCTCAGACTGGAGCTCTGGATATTGACAGGTATGGCAACGTGGATAGGTCTCGACGGTCAACCACTCGTAGCCAGACCAAATCCCAGGCCAAGTCTGGAGAAGTCTACTGCGACTTTTGCACCACGAGGAAGACAAAGGCTTCTCAGTCCTGCTTGGTGTGCCTGGCCTCATACTGTGAGGATCACCTGCAGTCGCACTATACCTACCCGACCCTGATGAAGCACAAGCTGGTCAAAGCCACGGGTCAGATGAGAGAGAAGGTCTGTGCGCAACACGACAAGTTGCTGGAAGCTTTCTGTCGCTCCGATCAGACGTTGGTCTGTGTTCTCTGCATGATGGACGAACACAAACACCACGACATCGTCCCAGCTGGAACTGAGAGGACTGAGAAACAAGTGAGTGGTGAACAGAATCAGTCTGAATACTGTGATGATCTTGTGGATTCGATTCAATTTTATGTTTGTGCTTTTGTACAGAAACAACTTGGACCCACACTGCACAAATCTCAACAAAGGATTGACCAGAGAATTAAGAAGTGGCAGGATCTAAGGCAAGCTGTTGAAGCAGTTCAGGTAGTCTTTTCTTCTTCACCCTAAACGTGGCATCATTTGAAAATAAATTTCAGTTTTTATTTTAGACCGCCAATTTTTCCGCTCTTGTGTATCTCATTAGCACTCAGCTAAAACAGTCCAGGAGGAGAACGAGCGGATCTTCAATGAGCTTATGCAACTCATTGAGAGGAAGTACAACGAGGTCAAGGAGATGGTCCGCTCCCACGAAAAGATCACCGTGTCCCGTGGCGAGATTCTGCTCGACCGCTTGGAAGAGGAGATCACCCTGCTGAGGAAGAGACACAACAACCTGGAGAAGCTCTCACGCACCGATGATCACATCCACTTTCTGCAGGTGAGAGGGTTCAAATGAACAGGTACTCATCGTGAAATTGTCCCATCTTCGATCCTAATGGTTTTATTTTGACTTTGGTCAGAGTTGGCAGTCTCTGTCTGGCCCCTCCGGATACGAAGACCTGAACAACGTCAGTGTTGCTCCCAATTACTCCTTCGATTCCACCAAAAGAGCCATTACTGCACTGAAGATACAATTAGAAGAAATCAGCAAAATTGAAATGAGCAAAATCTCCGAAAAAGGTGGATTACTTCTTCCCTTGTGATTTTGCAGTGATCTCTTTGGTTACTTGGGCTGTTTTGTTTTAAATAATTTTTTTTGTCTTCACAGTAAAGGAAGTGTACATCACAGAAGAAACTGATGCAAAGGCAAGAAGAGAATCGATTCTGAGAGCAGAAACAAGGAGCAGAGAAGAGTCAAGGCCAAATGAAGAACCGAAGACGAGAGAAGACTTCCTGAAATGTGAGTTAATGTGTGAATTGTTATAAATATATACATATATGTGTTTTTTGTCTGTCTGAACTTAGCAGCCATAGCAAACATCCCCCAAATATAGCGACAAAGCTATATAATTAGTGTTGCTTCGAATACGTCCAACGAGCCTAACAAAGGAGTGACTGATCTTGGTGAAACGACAGAAACCTGCTTGAAAGATGTTTGACAAACGGGTTCAGCAACATGTTTGAATGGAAACTTCCTGTTCAGTAGCCTATTGCTTAAACAAATACAGGTAACACTGTCCTTCACCTGTGTAAATCTTTTTTCAAACAACATGCCACACCAAGTCTTACACTACTCAGAGGCATGGCAAAATAGTAAAAAAACAAAACAAAACAAAAAAACACTCAGGAAGGACTCCTATTTAACATTTTCTGTATTTTCTTATTCAGACTCCTGTCAGTTGACTTTTGATGTCAACTCTGTCCACCGCAACCTTCACCTCTCAGAGGGATACAGGACAGTTACGATGAAAAGCGAACCTAGAAACTACCCTGATCATCCAGATCGATTTGATCATTGGCAGCAGGTGAGAATTCATTGCCTTCTGTTTGAATTTATATAATGGGACAACTGATTAGTGCCAGCACAATCAAGTAAACAAGGATAAATAATCAGATTTGGTGTATGGAATTGCTCTTTCTTTATTGTTGTTGGTTGAAAACTGCCATGATAGTAAAAGTGGTTAAAATCTCTCATTAGAAGTTATGGACACGCTGTCTTTCAGGTGTTGTGCAGAGAGAGCGTGTCTGGGACTCGCTGCTACTGGGAGGTGGACTGGCGGGGGACAGAAATCGACGTGGCCGTCACCTACAAGGGAATCCGCCGCAAAGGGAACGGGAACGACTGCAGCCTGGGCTGGAACGACAAGTCCTGGAGTCTGTACTGCTCCGACTCCAAGTACACGTTTGTGCACAACAACAGGAGCACAGAGTTCTCTGGTCCAGCGGCGTCCCGTATCGGTGTCTACCTGGACCACACAAGGGGAATTCTTGCTTTCTACAGCGTCTATGATAGCATGAGACTTCTGCACAGAGTCTTCACCTCCTTTACTGAACCTGTCTACCCTGCTTTTAGTGTGTGGGGCTTTGGCTCCACTGTCATGCTGTAGCACAGGGGCCTCAGGATTACAGTTTTTATGGTACAAACTAATAATATTCTCAATATTTATAGTAAACAATAAAACTGGGTGTTTACTTTGGTTCTTTTTCACATTTTTCAGTTTTTATGGTTGAAGCATTATACAGTTTAAGGGGAATCAAAATTATAGATTGTGTTTTTGAAAAAAAGAACAAATATGGAAAAAATATTTTTTATATTTGTAGCATTTTTATACATCACAAATAGTCTTGTTTATATTAATTTTATTTTAGCTGTAAATTCAATGAAAAATGACTAAATGACTAAAATTAAGGCAAAATCTGCTACATTTCTTCGACAAATACGATACACTTTTAGCAGAGAACTTGGTTTTTGAGACACGTTCTTTTAAACATTTGATAGTGCTGAGGAAACTTTTTGTATTTGAAAATGGATTGCTTTTTGATAGAAAGCACATGAACAGGATTTTGTATGTTATTTAATTTTTGGTGCTTATTCAGTAAAAAATGTTCTTCTTGAGCCTAGCAGTAAATAAACAATTAAATACAAGAATCATTATGTTTTGAGTGATTTTCATCAATTATGTTGACATAAAGGCAGTGAGAATGTTCAGAGAAAACCGTTTGCTGAGTTTATTTGGTATCTGTTTGACTGTAAAATACTTAAATTTTGTTTTATAAATCTGATATTGTGCAGCACTTTTCAAAACCAAATTTACAAAGCTCTTTACATCAGATAGAAACGAATAATAGAGAGAGTTTGCCATTCTGACTTCTAGTGAAAAACTGGTCCCAGAACTCTTTTAAGGGTTTATAGATCCTCTCTGGTTTGTGACTGCCTTGGGATCCCACAGGAGGAGCTGGGGAGAGCTGCTCGGAGAAGTAAGTTTGGTTTTTGCTCCTGGATCTGTTGCCTCAGTGACTCAATCACAGGTAACCAACCAGTAGATGGCGATAGAGACTATTCCACACTCAGGACTCCAGAATCCATAGACCCCTCTTGTTCTGTGGCACAAGTATCACTGGTTGCACTTAGGATTGCTCTAGTTCAGAGATTCTTAACCCATGGGCCGCGGCCCAATTGTGGGCCACGAGCTCCACCTTGAGGGCCTCAAAAGAACAACAGTTTTTTAACTTTTGGCCGCAGAGGGCCGTGGGACCGCACCAATTTTGAATGAAGTGCAATACACTTTCTCACCACTAGTAGCGGTAGTGCGTCACTCAGATGTTTAACTAATTTTTTTAATATGTAGAAGAAGAACCTTAGAAACTTGCCGAGAATAGAAACCTTTTTTAAATTAAAAGCAGAAGGCAAAAATGAAGGCAGTCCATAAAAAAACACCAGTTTGTCATT